GTGTTTACTATTTTTGGAAACAGAGTGTTATGCGTTAGAGTCTGCGAAGATTGATCAACGTATTGTAGGACAAGTTAAACCACAGATGCGTTCAAACAGTCATATAGCTACTATAAGCAACAATTCATACAATAAGTGTAGTGTATGTCAGGACACTTCACACAAAATGTTTTACTGTCCACAATTTCTAAAAAAGTCGAGCGTGTAAGAAGTACGCGGGGATGAAGTGAAACTTCTTTCAGTCATACAACTGATATGAGGTTTTGTAATAATAATAATAATAATAATCTTATGTTAATTAATGGTATATATATATTTATGGTATTAATAATGATATATCAAGTAGGTACCTTCTACAAAGTATACATGTAGGTTACTTATATATAATATAAATAATTGTACTTGTACCATTTTCTATCCAAGTATAAAGGAAACATATTGGTACGTTGGTAATGGTAAATATGTAGATGAAATCAAGTATTAATTAAATATTTATTATTATTATTATTATTATTTATTAAATACTTATAGTATAGTCATATAATATGATGAAATTCATCGAGTTATATTTTGAATATACATAATTTGACTCACCTAAAAATAGTATATTATATTATATTATATTATATTATCGCGCACTCTGGAATATTTATTATATATGCGTTTTCGCTTTTATCAACTTGACTACGGAATATTGTTTATACCATGATAAAATAACATGGTATGCTGGCAACTTTATGATACGCATACCCCTTACCCCGCCGACCATCATACAGAGCTGTATCCAGTTCGCCGCTTTTCATTGGTTTTCATGATCAATATATATACATAGTGCATTATGAGGAGAACTGGATACAATGAAATGCGCAAACTCCGACGATATTCAGTTCGTTGCCATCATACCATGTTATTTTATCATGGTTTATACGTTTATACTGGTTTGTTTATAATATCATATGATATGTTTCCAAAAAGATTACAAAATATTGAAACGGAAAATATCAAAAACTTTATAAACAAAACATCGTACCGTTTTCGTGACGCGCGAGCGTCCGTGACGCCCGAGCGTCCGTGACGCCCGAGCGTCACTCTCTTTTTTTTCAATACCCCTCACATAAGAAGTTTAACTTCAAAAATGACTGTCAAGGATAGAGCAGAAGTAGTAAAGAAGAATAAACTATGCTTTAATTGCCTAAAGCCAGAATGTCACTCATTCAAATGCACAAGTCGAGCATGTCTAAAATGCAACAATAAACATAACACACTACTTCACATTGAAAATTACAAATCAAATGCAAACAAACAGAATAACAAAGGTGAAGAAAGTGATTCATCACCTCAAGAGCAAAAAAATAAAATCTCAGTTCAGTCAAAGACCACTAACAACTCAAATGAAGAAATCAATGAATCTAATGTAAACTGTGCTAGCGTCATACAACAACCACATGTGCTATTATGGACAGCCAAGGTGCATGTGAAGGACATAAATGGCAAGTTGCAAGTATTTAGAGCATTGTTAGACAATGGATCACAATCTAATTTTGTCACTCAACAGTGCATATCAGATCTGGGATTGACAGCGACAAGCCGTATTACTAAAGTAAGTGGAGTAAGTGCGCTATCATCTTGCAGTGAAGCTGTCATAACGTTACAAATAATGTCACGTACGTCAACTTTCAAACAAAATTTAGAATTTCTAGTAATGAAAAAAATAACCAACGACTTACCTACTTCAAGTATTCCAGTACAAGGAATCAAATTACCATCTGGATTAACTCTAGCTGACCCAGAATACTACAAAAGTAACAAAGTTGACATGCTTATTGGAAGTGAATGTTTCAGTAATCTTTTACAAAGAGGACTCATTAAATTAGGAAACCACCGGCCAACACTTCATGAGACTGCTCTGGGCTGGGTCGTAGCTGGTCAACTAAATGTAAATTATAATACACAAAATACTGCAAGTTATCTTTGTACAAATTCAAATTGTCAAGCAACAGAAACCATCAACCAAGCAACAACTAAATTTTGGAGAGTAGAAGAATTTAAAGCTGATAGACTAAGTACTGATGAAGATATTCAATGTGAACAAATGTATTCAGCTACTACATCTAGAAATCAATATGGAAGATACATTGTCAAATTGCCATTACGCTCTGATCTATCAGTCCTTGGTGATTCATTTCAAGAAGCATTAAGGCGATTCCGACAGATTGAAAAACGTTTGCAAAAAGATGTCGTATTACAAACCAATTACAACAATTTCATGAATGAATATTTATCTCTTGGTCACATGCAAATGGTGGAGGATATAACACAGGCAAAGGAAGTTCGCTATTTTTTACCACACCATTCTGTATTTCATGAAGCAAGTACTACAACAAAACTCAGAGTAGTATTTGATGCCTCGATAAAGACTGATGGAGGTAAGGGCTTGTCTCTAAACGATATACTTCTAGTTGGTCCGGTTGTCCAAGATGATTTATTTTCTGTAATCATTCGTTTCCGAATGCACAGTATAGTATTTACAGCAGACATCATAAAAATGTACAGACAAATTCAAATTCACCATGAAAATACTAGCTTACAGTCAATATTATGGCGCTCATCTCCACATCAAGAGATCAAGATTTATGAATTAAACACTGTCACATATGGCACAGCGGCTGCGCCATACTTAGCAACCAGAACATTAAACCAACTAGCTGCTGATTGTAAAGACAAGTATCCTAATGCAGAAAACATTATAAAGGACTTATATGTGGATGACATTCTTAGTGGAGCCAACACTGTGGAAGAAGCCAAGAAAATCATCTCTGAACTGAATTCTATGCTCTCCGAAGGGGGATTTCAACTCAGTAAGTGGGCTTCTAACTACAAACCATTGTTAAATTTCACAACAAATAACAAATCAAGCAATACAACAGACATAATTACAGTTCTTGGACTAACTTGGAATCCAAGCAATGATAATCTTTATTGCACACGACCACCTGTTGATTTTACCCATGCATATCAAACCAAGAGAGAAGTGCTTTCACTCATTGCAAGGTTATATGATCCACTAGGACTCATTGGACCAGTAGTAATACTTGCAAAAATGTTGATTCAAGAATTGTGGAAACTGAAAATAGATTGGGACTCACCATTGCCACCAGATACGCAGGCAACTTGGAATAAGTTTGTTGATGAATTACCAAATTTAAATAAATTACAAATTCCTCGACAAGTAACTTTGGCAAACTGTGATTTAAACTTTGACATTCAAGGATTCTCAGATGCTTCAGAACGAGCCTATGGGGCGGTGGTATACATTAGATGTACAGATCACAATGGTTATAACCAAACAAGAATATTAGCTGCCAAATCAAAAGTAGCACCTGTACGCACTCTAAGTATACCTAGACTAGAACTTTGCAGTGCTCTACTATTATCGCAGTTGGTAAGTTCAATACTTTCAGCATTAAAGGTAAAACCAAAAAACATTTTTTTATGGTCAGATTCTACCGTAACATTAGCCTGGATTTCAGCCTGTCCGTCAAGGTGGAAGCAATTTGTTGTCAATAGAGTTAGGGAAATACAAAAATTAACATCTAATGCTCAGTGGAACCACATAAAATCGGAAGACAATCTAGCAGATCTAATCTCGAGAGGAGCTCAACCTTCAAGGTTGATTGAAGCATCCTTATGGTGGTCAGGTCCAACACGGTTGTGATTCTCAAATTATCAGTGGCCACTGGCCAGTATCCATTACTGCACCTACATTAGAAACAGTACTTGAAGAACGAGTTATAAAAACACAAGCATTTGTAACGTCAAGTATCCAGTTCGAAAATCATTCGTCATGGTCCAAATTAATTCGAAAAACTGCGTATGTATTTCGATTTATACGTAATACTCAAGCTCGATCTCAATGCAGGGAAAAACTAATCGACCATCTTACTACTGAAGAGTTTCGACAAGCAACATTGCATTGTTGCAAATTAGTTCAAGCTGAAGAGTTTTCATCAGGTATAACTAAACTTTCGAATAATAAAAATTTGTCATCAAAAAGCAAGTTGTTATGTCTAGCTCCATTTATTGATCAAGAAGGAGTTCTTAGAGTTGGGGGACGACTAAGACATTCATCTTTTACAAACGATAAGAAACATCCAATTTTATTGCCAAAACAACATCACATTACCAAACTGATTGCTAAGTATTTGCACGTGACCAACCTGCATGTAGGGCCACAGACTCTACTAACCATTATACGTCAGAAGTACTGGCCACTAAGTGGAAAAAACCTATGTAAACAAATCGTCCACTCATGCATTGTATGTTTCAAGGCTAAACCAAAATTTCACTCTCCACTTATGGGTCAATTACCAAGTGCCAGAGTAACGCCATCAAGACCATTCACCAGCACTGGTATTGACTTCTGTGGACCTGTGTACATCTGACAATCAAAAAACAAGCGAGCATGCAAGGTAAAAACGTACATATCTGTATTTGTCTGCATGGCTATTAAAGCAGTACATCTTCAGCTTGTGAGTGACCTTAGTTCCAACGCATTCACTGCAGCACTCAAGCGGTTCATATCAAGAAGAGGAATGTGCAAACAAATTTACTGTGATAACGGAAAAAACTTTGTTGGAGCATCCAGAAGCTTAACAGAACTTCATGAATGGGTAATCAAAAACAAAGAAAAAATTGCTCAAATATGTTTACCCGATAGCATTGAGTGGCATTTCATACCACCGAATTCTCCACATATGGGTGGACTGTGGGAAGCATGTGTGAAGTCAGTAAAATACCACTTGCATAGAGTTATGGGAACTGAATGTTTAACCTTTGAAAAAGCTGCCACCCTTCTTTCCCAGATTGAAGCTTGTCTCAACTCAAGACCGATAACTTCACAGTCCAATGATCCAAATGATGAAAGACCTCTGACTCCAGCACATTTTTTGGTTGGTGATTCCGTTCTCTTACCCATTGAGCAAGACAATGCTGATACGTAAATGAACAAATTGCAAAGATGGAGCAGAGTGCAATCAATGGTTCAATCATTTTGGAAACGTTGGTCAAACGACTACATCACATCACTTCAACAAAGAGGAAAATGGCACAAGCAATGTCCTAACATCAACGTTGGTGACTTAGTCATAATCAAAGAAACCAATATTCCACCATCTCACTGGATGGTTGGCCGAATCATTCTCCTTCACCCAGGGACTGATGGAGTAGTGCGTGTAGCCACAGTCAAGACTGCGCAAACAACACTTAAACGTCCCGTTGTTAAACTTAGTAAAGTTCCTATTGATTAAAATTGTGTAATCCTATTTATAACAAGTAAAAAAAAAAAAAAATGTGTTATTATTTTCTTTTATGTCATGTTAAGCATTTTTATTACATTTTTTCATGTCATTTCAAATTTGAATCATTATTATAAGACTACTTATTATTATAATTTTAGTTGAAGACTTCCTTTAACGGCGGGAATATGTTTATGTTAATGTTTATAATACTGGTGCTGTATTGGCAGCACTGATATATTTTGTGTCAACCATTACTCAATGATTTCATATTTTTTTGTCACCTAGTAAGTATATAGTCATGATTTCATGAATTCAATACCTTTTGTAAAGTCATATATACAATTCAAATTAAATACAGTCCGCTTTATACATAATTAAAATAAGTTGTTTGTGTGTGTTTACTTAAAGTTCCTAGATAAAACATCAACAACGCCGAATTCGAAGACGACCCCCAACACTAAAAAGTCCGTCATTATCAACAAATGGGGCAAGTTGAGCCAGTGAAGGGGGAGTTATAATCCTCGATGTAGTCAACTGCTTTCACAAATTAGAAAAATATATCCTTTGCGTCTCCTTAACGGCAGTGATTAAGACCTAGTTTAACTCTGCTCTAGTGAGCGGTCCAACTAGTACAGGTCGATGTCTAGATCGAGGACTAAAACAGATACGATGAGCCAGAACTCGTTGCATTTTAATCAAAGATGAAAACCGGTGAAAATAGGCAGATAAACTTTAGTTACTTGTAGAACGGTTGTTGTATCGGCTTTGGTCCCGGGCAAATCAACTAGGGGCATTGGAATGAACGTTGGCCATTATTCTTCAGGACGTGTTAAAAATTCTGGTCCGTTCCAATGTAGTGACGACGATGCCATGGTTGCTGGTAGAAATCCTCGTGACTCAGGGTTTTTATGTGTACGAACGTGACCCCAGTGACACTTAATAACCAATGCATGAATTTTTACAACGCGATGTATGACGAATATTTTAAAATTTTTTTGTTCAGGCGACAACCACGAAAGGACAATTGATGATTGCGTCCACGCACGTACTTGAGAGATCTTGATTGATGTTGAGAGAACTTCTTGGATGTGAAACTGTGATTGGGCCAAATAGCAACGCATAATTCTAAACGAGGTATGGACAATGATTCATCTAGCTGAGAAGTTTTAATTTTAGCAACCTTTGTCTTGCAAGACACAAAATGAACGGACACATTTCCAGAATTGTGGACAACACATAGATAAATAGTAGCAGTATAACCCTTCGATGATGTAACTGCAAACCCTAGGAGTTGTATATCAGAGTAGGACTAAACATTTATAACGATATGACTATGAGTATAACGTGAAACAATTCAAAACACGATTTAAATCGATAACGGGTAACATATCGGTAAACGATAAACGATTGGAAACGGAAAACGGATAACGAAACAGAAACAATAAACAATTGAAACATATAATTACCTGGAATATGTTGGTCTGTGAGGTGAGGTAGATCGAGGTTTATCGGGATAGTTACTAAATTAAGCTATTATAACAGACGAGATCATATTGCATACGAGTCGGAAATGAAGAACCACATTTTATGTTTTTGCTGTCCTTGATACCATATGTAGCATATATCTAGGTAATATTTATGGGGTAATTGATAAAATCAGTTGAAATAATGTAAGGGTTAGTCTGTCTGTCTGTCTGTGGGTCTGTGTGTCTATATTACCGTGGCAACCAAATGTAACGTAACGTTTTTCGATTCTATGTGCTAAACCAAAGACATAAAATGTCAAAAATATATTTACAAGATTATAACTGTCAGTTAAATGGTTATTTTTGTAATATTATATTTTTCGATCATTCAGTTTTGTGTAGGAAACAAGCTATATCCATCAGATAACGCTAAACGCTTCGTAACTGTTGACCCGGCGATCCTTAAGATCAGATATCGCCTGGTACGAGGTCCTCAGGATTGTTGTAGAATAAGGCAATTTATAAGATTCAAAAATAACACGAGATTTCTAACTATCAGGAGCATGTATTTTTAGGTATACCACATGAACAGTAGGTAGGTAATTCAATTATACAATAATACAATATTAAGTCAGGGGGGAAACGGGGATCACCGACTGAGCTGCCTCCCTGGCCGATGTCTTGAGCTGGTGAACTGTATGTGCGGAGCTGCTGTATCTGGAACACGAGTGCGAGCGTATGCACCGTCGTGTCGTGGAGCGAAGAGCGTTCAACCGCGCACGTGGACGCGAAGTATGGTAGAGTAGGTAAAGCTACTCGGAGCTGATTGTCACGAACTTGACGAGAGCAGACTGGACGACGACAGTCAATAAAAGATCAATACGGTTAATCGGCCGAACAACCGCGATGTTTAATACTGAACAATAAACACGTTTTCCGTAACTATCCCAAACGGGAAAAGATGGCTGACGGGCGAGCGAGCAGAACAAACGTGTTGACGGAGCGGTCGGGAACTCGTTGCAACGGAAAAACGGAGAGTGTACGCCATTGTAACACCAATCGAACTGGTTACAGCAAAGAGAGCGAACTTGTATCTACCACGGAACAATGGCGGACGCCCATGGACGGGCCGTTGAGCATAGCGACCAAAAAACGTGGTTTTTAGCATAAACCAAACGGTACAGACGAGCTAGACGCATACACATACGACGACCGAGCGAGGCGGACGTCCGAACTCGACAGCGCCGATCACCGGTAACGGTCTACCAGTGTTGCCAAAATCGCGGCTGCCGGCGCGCAGCGCCCAAGAACATGGTTACTGAGCGTGACCACCGACGGCGGCAATTCTGTTATCAAACGGAGCGAACATACTCCCCCTTGCAAGTTCCAGCTAACTTGGAATAAGAAGTTCGATCTGTTCTGCATAATGTTGGAGCTGGGAGCCTTGAACGGAGCAGTTGAGCAGTTGAACGGAGCAGTTGAGCAGTTGAACGGAGCAGTTGAGCAGTTGAGCAGTTGAACGGAGCAGTCGAGCAGTTGAACGGAGCAGTCGAGCAGTTGAACGGAGCAGTTGAGCAGTTGAGCAGTTGAACGGAGCAGTCGAGCAGTTGAACGGAGCAGTTGAGCAGCCCAGAGCGATGATCGGGTTTTCTTTACAAAGGGACAACATTTTTAACAGTCTTTTTTTGCAACGAAATATAACAAATCTACGGTATTAACCGAGCTAAAATAACAATGTTTAACAACATAACATACAAAATTAATTACCCAAAATTTAGTTACATTATTTTCTTTTTATCATCATAAAAACATATCAATATAGTAACAACATAATACCTGAAAATAAACAAAAGTAAAAAACAATAAACATTGCCATACCCCACTGGATCCAGAGGTGGAGCAACCGGCCCAACATCCAGAAGCAGGCGTGATGGCTGGTAAAACCAAATAATTACAGTTTATAACACATAATGATCTCAGCCATAGCGGACGAGTATAAGGGTGCAAAGGAAACTGGTGGACGGAAATACATCTAATTAGTACCTATCGTGTCCTACAAATCCGTAGGTAACGGTACTAACTTCACAACTGGTCTAGTGAACACTCCCTGGTTGGTCCTAACCTTTGCCACCCGCACTATCTTATCTGTGCCCGGATACACCTCGATCACTCTACCTAAAGGCCACGTAAGAGGGGGGGTGTCGCTAATTTTTACTACCACCATATTACCAACTTCGACGTTGTTGCTATCTTTGGTCCACTTTCCACGAACTTGGAGAGTATTTAGATATTCCTGGGACCAACGTCGCCAAAAGAACTGGAAAGACTGCTGGAGGAGCTTCCAGCGAGTCTGCAGTCCTGTTTGCGTACTGGTAATCACAGGTTCCGGAATCGATATCAGAGGACGACCAATCAAAAAATGACCGGGTGTTAAGCATTCCAGGTCATTCGGATCAGATGATGCTGGTACTAGAGGGCGCGAGTTCAAAGCAGCCTCTACTCGACATAACACCGTGGTAAACTCTTCTAACGTCCAAACTTGGGAGTTCATGGCACGAAGAAGCAATGCCTTAGCCGACTTCACTGCAGCTTCCCAAATTCCTCCGAAATGGGGAGCACCAGGAGGGTTGAAATGCCACACGCACGCAATATGACCAGATAATTGATCTCTATTATCCGGATGATTTACTAATTGTCGCAGCTGCCTCGCTGCACCGACAAAGTTGGTGCCGCAGTCCGAGTAGATCGACGTCGGTAGACCACGACGAGCCACGAATCTATCTAACGTTAATCGAAAAGCCTCGGTCGACAGGGCAGAAACTGGTTCCAAGTGCACCGCTTTGGTGGACATACAAACGAATACCGCAATGTATACCTTCACGATACGAGCTTTTCGCAGGCTGAGTTCCCTCATTTGCAAGGGACCTGCATAGTCTATACCAACGACAGAGAACGGATGAGCTTCCTGAACGCGAAACCTAGGCAGATCAGCCATCATAGGTTGAGGGTTGATGGGCTTGATCCTTGCGCATCTCCGAATTGAGCAGTTCTTCACACAATCCGTCTTCGGTGAACTGAGGCGGAGCAGCTTCAGGTTCCTCCACCTTCCAAAACCTTTCTATGATGGATTCCATGGACGATACTAGCGACACCAACATAGCTTGTGCACCAATATCTGGGTGCTCCTGAACAGGACCAATTAGCACCCAACCAAATACTGAGCTGTAAACGGAAGGGAAACCTGGACCCAACGAGCTGAACTTGTTCTTCCATACTTGGGGAAATATATCCGCGCCAATGAGCATCTCAACTGGAGCTGGCTCATCGAAGCTTGGGTCGGCCAACATCAGATGGCTGCATTTGGCTCGTACCTGAACTGGCAGTTGTCGAGCTGGCATATCTGACGTGATGGTAGAGAGTACCCAAGGCTTGACCTGGATCGCTGGCGTTGGCTTATCCCTTGGCTGGATCGTCAGCTGAACAATACCCTGTACATCCGGAACCTTCTGGCCGGAAAGACCAGTCACAGGTACTGTCCATCGCGAGGGCTGTAATCCCAAGCGGTTACAGCAAGCCGATGTGATTGCACTGATCTGCGATGCCGAATCGATCAGAGCGCGCACGGTCTGGCAACTGCCAATTGTATCTCGTACATGTACCAAAGCGGTCCCGAGCAAGACCGTTGGGGCTTGTTGGCGGCCTAACATGGCAGCCGGAGGAGCGGATTTCGACGGTTCCTGATCTCGATGTAGTAGCGCATGATGGCGCCTCTTGCATATGGAGCACGAAGAGGAACACTTAAACGACATGTGCCCGTGATTCAAACAGACCATGCAAAGGCGATGCGTGCACACCACCTTGTAGCGTTCATCGACCGAGCAAGCCTTAAATTTCGCGCAATCAGCTAGCTGGTGAGCACCGGAACAAACGTAACATGACGCCGAAGTAGGTTTGGTCGAGGAATGTTTGGACGTCGAAGGTTTGGGCGTCGATACTAATGCGGTCTTCGGTTCCCGACGGAAACCAGTTTTCTTGATATTGGCCGACTTCGAGGAGGAGCTTCCTGCCGATTGTACACCTGCATTTTCAAGAACCTGGATTCTAGTTTTAACGAACTTGATCACGCTCTGTATCGACGGATATTCTTCATTGTTTTCAGCCTCGAAAAGACGTCTCGAGAATGTAGGTAAACACCTAGCAGCCAATGAAAATAACAGAAACGACGCTAGATCCGGGATCTGGAGCGACTCCAGGATCGTGATGTTTTCGTCGAAAACCGACATAAAGGTTTGCAGAACTGCAAGATTTTCAGAATTCGAGGCGGGAGCGGATATTAACTTATCGATTATTGACGAAGCTAACCTGCGCGGTTTATCGTAGCGTTCGATCAATGCGTCCCAGGCAAGAGTAAAAGACTCATTTGAAATCGAAAATCCCTTGATGACTTCTTGCGGATCAGCATGCAGACACCCCACCAGGTAATAGAACTTGGTAACATTCGGGATCTTATCGTTGTTAGCCACCAAATTGACGAACATGTCCCTAAAGGCTGGCCAGTTGTGGCATTCACCATCAAAAGTAGGCAGAGGGATTTCAGGCAACCTCATAGGTGCCACAGCCAACGGAGGATAGGGAACTGAGCAATCCTTGGACGACCCCCCAGCAGAAGAACTTGCTTGGTCAATTATACCCTCATACGACACTTGTTGAACCGCACCGACATTAAAAGCTGGAGTTGGTTGAGATGCCTTGTACAAGGCCTTAGCTTCTACCACCAAAGCACGGGTCTCAGTTTCTAAGTTCACAGAAAACTCCCCCAACAAATCCGATTCGGTAAGTATGTCTAGAAGATTATTGTTCTCAATAACAAAGCTGGCCCACAAGCTATCAATATCGACAATAGCCACAGCTAGTTGAGATCTACTAGCTTCATCAGTGGCTGAGCTTGTGGCCAATAAGTGTATCTGGCGAATTCGAGCGATGACTTGATCCCTACGCAGGATTGCACGCTCCTTCGCACGAGCATCACGTTCCCCAGCCATTATATTGCCTGCACCAAGAAGTAACAAAGCCAGAGACTAACAATATTGAACTAGAGCGAGAACAAATTGCTAGTTGAAGTCAATATCACTTCAAGGATATGATCAAAAAATAAGCACAAACAAAAGATTACTAATACTGGTATCACACAGTACAAACGTTGATCAACGATGCCGAAAAATCAATGAACAAATAAATGACTACCGAATGAGCACTATAAAAAGGCCATGAACAAGTCAATTAATAAAATAGAAACAAGCGTTGACTATGATGTAGGCAATAACTAAGCAAGCGGCAAAATAATCAGTAGCCGACAAACAATATCATAACTATTAACAGTTAAAACTAGTCTAAACAACAGGAGAGCCCCTAATTAATTTAAACTTGAGTAGAACTCAGGTGTATCCAGGCGACGCAGTACTAAATATAATATTAAAATTAATTATACTAACTATGAACAAGTTAGACAACCAAATCTGCACTATAAAACCCTCAATTGAGCAACCTAGAGTGGATAATATAAAACAAATAATCAAATAATAATATATTGTGTGATAGTACAATACCTGATCCTTGGCACGACCCACGACGCACACCTAAATCTTAAACTATGTAATAATGCAATTTAGAGCTACTGCACTAAGGGTGAGTGATAAGCCCTGTTAAAACTCAGATGTCAATAGCACGACAACAAAATATTAATAATAATCCACCCAATTAAATAGTATAACCAATGAGGTAGGTGCTAACTAGACCAGCAACTAGTGAACAACCTATACTAGTTAATACCCATACATAATACAATAAATAAAACAATAAATAATTTAACCCAGAGAGCACCGTCTAATAAATATGTAATATTTAAAGTAAATTCAAATTGAATAACGTTACTACAGTAGTAAACGCTTGAGCACGAATACAGTAAATAAAACTCAACACTAAATAATAAATCTGACTTATATTAATAGCAATAAATAAAACAATTAATTAATGACTGAGCAGTCGGTTGAGTTAATTACTGTCTTCTTACTGAACAGTACCTACTATCGATAGGAGTGAGGAAAAGGATAAATAAATGTACACACCTTATACTCATAAGCCAAAACTAAAAACAAAATGCATTACTCACGCGAATCCAGAGTACTAGATGTTGATGGACCAACCAACCACGCCCTGCTACCAAAATGTTGACCCGGCGATCCTTAAGATCAGATATCGCCTGGTACGAGGTCCTCAGGATTGTTGTAGAATAAGGCAATTTATAAGATTCAAAAATAACACGAGATTTCTAACTATCAGGAGCATGTATTGTTAGGTATACCACATGAACAGTAGGTAGGTAATTCAATTATACAATAATACAATATTAAGTCAGGGGGGAAACGGGGATCACCGACTGAGCTGCCTCCCTGGCCGATGTCTTGAGCTGGTGAACTGTATGTGCGGAGCTGCTGTATCTGGAACACGAGTGCGAGCGTATGCACCGTCGTGTCGTGGAGCGAAGAGCGTTCAACCGCGCACGTGGACGCGAAGTATGGTAGAGTAGGTAAAGCTACTCGGAGCTGATTGTCACGAACTTGACGAGAGCAGACTGGACGACGGCAAGGTGACAATAAGACATCGGGACAACCTAACCTAACCTAACCTAACCTAACCTAACCGCGCGGTCTTATTGTCCCGAGGTCTTATTGTCCTTTTCCCCTGGACGACGACAGTCAATAAAAGATCAATACGGTTAATCGGCCGAACAACCGCGATGTTTAATACTGAACAATAAACACGTTTTCCGTAACTATCCCAAACGGGAAAAGATGGCTGACGGGCGAGCGAGCAGAACAAACGTGTTGACGGAGCGGTCGGGAACTCGTTGCAACGGAAAAACGGAGAGTGTACGCCATTGTAACACCAATCGAACTGGTTACAGCAAAGAGAGCGAACTTGTATCTACCACGGAACAATGGCGGACGCCCATGGACGGACCGTTGAGCATAGCGACCAAAAAACGTGGTTTTTAGCATAAACCAAACGGTACAGACGAGCTAGACGCATACACATACGACGACCGAGCGAGGCGGACGTCCGAACTCGACAGCGCCGATCACCGGTAACGGTCTACCAGTGTTGCCAAAATCGCGGCTGCCGGCGCGCAGCGCCCAAGAACATGGTTACTGCGGCGGTCGGTCGAGCGTGACCACCGACGGCGGCAATTCTGTTATCAAACGGAGCGAACAGTAACGTTTCAATTTATAAAACGTTTAAACGCATAAATTGAATAACGTTTAATTACTTTATAACGTTAAACAGTCATTCGATCATAACGTTTAATATACATATAAATGTTAAACAGGCATTCGATCATAACGTTTAATATCCATATAATGGTAAACGGTATTATTATTTTTGGTTTAAGCTCTGTTGTAAACAAATTTTACAACGCCGGGTTATTCAACTAGTGTTTTCATATAAGTGTGAATTATTATCATTACCTATCCGTGTAAATAGTGGGTTCCAGATTCAATGGTATGAATTATATTAATATTTTTACATATTCTTGTATATATATAATATTTGGTAAAAGGCTTCAACTACATAGGTTTTTAGCCCTAGAACTTATATTATAATTAAATGTATACCTAGTCGAATAAGTTATGCATATTTTTTTTAATCCTGTAGAACATGAAAACACAGAATATGCTATACTGCTATATAGTATTATAAGTTATATACACATCCAGTGTTGTACATTAAATTTTCTTAAGAGGTGAGGGAGGGATTAAATTATATTCATAAGTTTATCGGAGTCATTCATGCCTTTCACCCAACGAAATAAGTTCTATCGAAGACCATGGATAGTTAAAATATTCAGCGTTCACTCTATCATATTTATAATAATTAATAAATTATATTAAAATTATATTAATAATGCTTTTATTAGAAAATTAAGAACAACTTATACAAAAACTATTAAACAAATAGACATACTCCTATTGAATATTGAATATTATCCTATCACAAAACTATGTCCAAACGTCGCTTTTTGTTTAAAATTAATTACGATTTGTGGATGGCATAGCTACTGTTTGACTTATACGTTTTCTTATAAGTGTGAATTATTATCATTATCCGTGTCGTAAGGAATCGTGCAGGGTTCCCAAGGCTGGGCAAGTTAATGATATTTTTTAACTCAGTTAAGTTAAGTTAAACTAAAATCTAAATCAAGTTAATAGTTAAAAGTTAATTCAAAATGTTCTATCAATTGAACTAAGTTAAAAGTTAACCAAAATTTAATATTAACTTTTTAACTCAAGTTAAGTTAGTTAAAAAAAAATGTCTTTTTTTCATCTAGGTAAAATTAAAACAATCGGCAGGTATACCTAAAATTGTTCATATTATAATTTTATTTTCCAAAATGTTTAGGTAACAGTCCACACATTTATTAGCATACTTTTAAAATGTGTACCTTCCATAAATTTGTATACCTAATACCTATTACCTACAATAATTTACATAATTTTAAACATTGTGTTACCACCACTACGCGTCCACGCCGCCGGAAATCGGAATGCTGAATGCTTGGCGAAAACGTCGAATTAATTATAAATTATCCAAAAATAAACGCGGTATTACTAAGAACCGTAGACTGTCCGCACGCTACCTTCTATACAATCATTAATTCGTAGGTAATAAGTATAATATAGTTAATAATAATATATAAAATAGTTTATAATAATAATAGGAATATAACTGGCGACGATGGCGAAAAATAACGGGCATTGATAATATTCGTTATTAAATAATATTATAGGTATTTATATTTTATACGAATATGAAAACATATTCTATAATAGTAATTAAAATTGAAATCAAATTAACTTGTTTAAATGTAAAATTAACTCAAGTTAATTTAAAGTTAATTTAAAAATTCCTTAAGTTAATAATTAAGTTAATAATCATAAAAAAAATTAAATTATTAAGTTAAAAAGTTAAACTAACTTAACTTATTAACTTAACTTTAACTTATTAACTCGTTAATGCCCAGCCTTGAGGGTTCCAGACTAAATGTTATGTGTCGCCGCCGCGACAATAGCGCTGTAGACGTCGCCAAAGACCGACACAAACACGCATACACACACACACACACACACACACACACACACACACACACACACACACACACACACACACACGCACACACGCACACACACACACACACACACACACACACACACACACACACACAGTCACATATTATAATCTTCGTTATTTTTGTGTAATTCATTTCGTCTTTGTGAATTATTATATAATATGTAGGCAGTGTTGGGGAAGTTACTTATTTTTGGTAATTAAATTACATTACTAATTACTTATCAAAATTGTAACTAAATTATTTTTAAGTTACTTTTTTTTAATTTGGTTAAGTTACATTACTTTTGAGTTTAAAAAGTAACTGAATTACAATAGAAGTTACTTTTTTTCAAAAATATCACTGGAGCTTAATAATCATGTTGTCAATATAAGAATACATAAACTAAATAGATAATGACAATCAAAAATATGAAATTATTAAAGGATGATACTTTTCTTGCAACACTATTATTATTATTTTTTTATTGAATTTAAGCCCGGCAACTATGGTCATTAGCTGTTGTACGGGATTATGAACTGTGTTTGGTAAGGTGCTGTTACGGTTTTTACGGTTGTTACAGTATCTATGCAAACACGTGTTAGTTTTTTACTACTACGAATCCGGGCGGTCACCCATCCAGGAACTAGTAGCAGCGGGCGTAAGTTACTATCAGTCGTATTGCCAAGTCACACATTTATTTATTAATTAATTTTTTCTTTCTTAACTAACCCTCAGCAACGTAGAAAATTGGGTGGTTTTTAACCATGGGGGAGGATACTGTAGGTTTTTGTAAACACGTGTGTTTAAGCTTGGCAGAATTTCAAATTGGGCACCCGTAGGTGCCATGCCCGGTCGAGGGATGGCGGCCTCTCTCTCCAGACAAATGTCTGCCGGAGAGAAGTTCAGCCCGTGACCGAGATTCGAACCGGCGAATTTATTGATAGTTCCAACAATGCTGTATGAGCCTTCCGCGACGATACAACACAGTAAAGATAAGAATTCCATTCTAAAAGTAACACTTTATAGTCGAATAGCCAATAGCTATAGCAAAATTATTACAGTATAGACAATTTTACCTATAAATCAAAATACTTATAAGTTATATTATGATATATTTTAATATTTACCTACACACAATATTATCAATATGTTCTAAAAAATGTAATAATCCAAAAAAAAAGTAGCGAGTAATTTAGTAAAAATTACTACAAAAAAGTAACTTAAATTACATATAAGTTACTTACAATAAAATGTAATTAAATTACCATCAAATTACTTAAAAAGTAATTTCGTTACAGTAACTTGTAACTTAAGTTAAGTTACTCCCCAACACTGTATGTAGGTTAAAGCTGGTTATCGTACGCCGATGGATCGGCTGCGCGAATATAATTAACACGGCCGCCGTAACATTTTTTTTGTCTTCCTCCGTCCGTCGTCGTGACCAAACCGTCGTCGTGAGCAACCCGTCCCGGATATTAATATAAGAAAAAAAAGGGTATTATATTGTAAGGCACGAATTGCCAAAATGATTATTTTCGTCAAATCACGAAAGACACATACTAGTTGCGGACAAATTATTCAGGTTAGGAATTATAATATAACAATTGCGGACACGAGTTTCGTTGTCATGATACTAATTGCGTACAGAGCTTTTTTTTTTAATAAAAACTACGTTAGTTGTGGACACAAATATTTCCATTCACCACTTTTTCAGGACTTGTGTAATGATATGCTCACACACCATTATAATAAACTAAAATCTTACAGAATACTTAATAAATAACGGCCAGACTGTCGTTTGTAGAAATCGGTCACATCAAATAAAACCATTATTAACGACAACTAAGATATCGGCACCCACTCATAACGGTAAAACGCAGGATGTGTGACTTTATTATACGATGCCGCCAGAGAAAAGGAAAGAAAAAAAAGGGTATCTGCCGCCAAAGAATAATCTAGTTCCCAAGCTCACGATAACATTTTTGATAAAGCCGCCTACCACTCTCTGGTCAGCATCGTCGCGTCGTCCCTTAAACCAGTGCATGAGCACCATTCACAGAGTAACAACCTCCAAAAAAAAGTCTAAAAAAAACCGATTTCAACAGTGCGTTTATTATTTCGAGTTATAATTTAAAAAAATATTACTCTGTGTCTATTAAAACCCTTACAAAATAATTCATAAACGACTGCGGATCAGGTAAGGCAATTAATATAATATTTAGGTTATAGGCAATTTATAATAATATTTTATATTAATTGCATTTATTATATTATCTGTGCATGTTTTATATACAATTGTGTTGTATTATGTATTTGATCTAATTCTCGAAAACACGATCTCGAGAGCCCTCCGATCACCTGGAGGAAGGTAATTGCTTAGTCTTACGATTTTAATATATTTATCGACAAGCGTCGTATTTTATTTTATATCGTAATTTTTGAGTCATTCAACTTGTGACAATAGCTAAAAAAAAAATTGGTAGTTGGGGTTAAAAATATTTGTGTCTTGCAAATCGTTATTTTTAAATTGTTGTTGAATTATCGATTGTTTTAATTTTGTGGAATAAAATATTTATAGATTATCGTCATGGTTTTTAAAACAGCCTGTATATATGATATTCTACTGATTTCACCACGTGAATATTGTAACATTATCCGCAATTAGTATCTTATATTTGTGTCCGCAATTCGTATGTTACCTTTTTAGATTTCGTCCGCAACTCACATGGTTTTCGTCACTTTGTCCGCAATTCGGAAACACCGATCACGAATCACTAAATAGTTCTGGACCTTGGGTCTAAAAGGGCCAATCTCACTTTTTGGCGAAAATGAGTTATATGGCCAATCTCATAAAACTTAATACGCTTTTTCTAGTGGTAAAAGGGCGTATCTCAATAATCATTAGTGCGAGATATGAGAGGGCCAATGTCATGAAAATTACAAAAATGTCATGAAAATTATAAAATGAAAATGACAACATTGGCCATATAAAAAAAAACAACATGACTTTGGCCCTTAAAGTGATCACTAAAAGGGCCAAAGTCATGATTTTTTTTTTTTTTGTAGGGCCAATGTCAATAGAAAACCTTCTATATTTCACTAATAAATTCACACCATACTCTAAAATGTAGGGTAAACTATATTTACATCCATCACAAAAACAAAAACATGAACAATAAAAAAAAAAAATTGCTATGAATTTTCAAAAAAAAAAGGAGGCTTTATTCTTGATTACTACAAAGTGACTAAAATTGAGATTGGCCCTTTTCGACCCAAGGTCCAGAGTTATATTATATTTTGTTCGGGTGGGAATCGCCGGGAATCGTTTTTATTATATTGTGCGGCTCAAATCACCATACCTTTGTTTATTATTATTTATTGTAAGGTGAGAATCACCAGTGTATATTATTTTATTATTATTATTATTTATTATTATTATTATATATAGTGTGTGTATCGTGTATTATTATTATTATTGTCAATATAGGATAGGTAACAGCTTTAGAGCCGAGCTGTAAGTTATCATATCTGTACGTTTTATTATTATTATTATTATTATTATATTTTTGTTACCTACAGTTAATTGGTAAGGCCAAAATGGCAGTACATTATTTTTATACTTATATTTGTTTGCTCATAAGATTATACAAATTATATTACACTTGTTATTTGTCAACAAGCCTCAGCTCAAATACCTGGCATATATTATTATTAGTATATTTTGTTGGAACAGAGGGCCATAAATATTATTAGCCATATTTTTATACTTTGATGTTGCTGTGATTTTTATATTCTTTGTATGAGTAAATTATTATTTATTTTGTGTACACTACAGCAACTCATTTTTACCCGCAACCGTGTTAAAATCTTATACTTACCTCTTGTCCAATAATTTTAAGCTTACACACCCTCACATATACACACTTACACATCCACCACACACTATCACACTCTAGTCTTGCTCGGGGACCCCGTCCACTTACTTTGAGTCTCTATACACACATACACACCTTTACACAGGTCAGTCGGTGTGTGAGTACAGCGCGCGCGACGTAAACAGTGATCAGACGTACGGGCTAAATATTGTTCGGTACCCGGCGCAATAATTATGAATTATAATTATATTTTTATATATATTATAATATTTGTTAAATGGCTTCAACTACAAAGGTTTTTAGCCTTACAACCATATTATAACTAAATGTATAGGTGAATATGCTACGCATATTTTTTCAATTCTGCAGAACATGTTAACACAAAATATGGTATAATATTGCTATATTGCTATATAGTGTTATCATTTATTATACACATCCAGTGACGTACATTCAATTATCTTAAGGGGAGGGGGTAGAGATTATATTATATTCATGAGTCTATCGGAGTGCTTCACTCAACGCAATAACTTCTATCGAGGACCATAGGTTGTTAAAATATTCAGAGTTCACATTATCATATTTATAACAATGATTTTATTAGAAAATAAAAAACAACTTATAAACAAAACAAATAGACATACCACATACTCGTATTGAATATTTAATTTTATTCTATTACAAAAAATAATAGTAATACCAAATTATAAACTAAAATAATATTTCGATAACGCCGGTATGCCGCTGAAAAAATAGACCTACATACAAACCCACCTTCAGGCCATAGGTCTCAACATAAAGACCAACACACGCATGTGTTGTCTCCGTCTTACAAACGCTTTAGTTTAAAAATTAGTGTATATCGACCTATTATAAAATTTGATGGTAAGAATATTATCTGTGTTTTGTAGGAAGTTTTTTTACGATATTTCAGTTCATAAGTGAGTTATAGCGTGTATAATAAACGTAAATAAAAAAAGCTCATAGCGCACTTAAAAACTAAATTATCGTAAAGAAATGTCCAACACAACACAGATAATGTTCTTACCATCAAGTTTCATAATAGGTTGATTCGCTCTAATTATTAATCTAACGGCACATAACTTGAATTTCCGAAATTTCTAGATGTAATGTATGTTACGCGTTTGTAAGACTATTATCAAACATATGTGTGGCGTCCTCTTAACTTAAAATATATTATAAGTATATTATTAAATAATTAATGAAAACTATTTATACTTAAATATATTATACCGATAACATGGAACCTTGTAAAGCCAATATAGCTACAAGACTTTCTTGTCGTTATAATTTCAAATCTATAGTCTTAACAATTATATCATAACTTAATTAACTTAACTTTAATTTTGTTTGTTTTTTGACAATTCAGCAATAATTGACATAAATATTAATGTATCCATAACATTTTATTAAAAACACAAGTTTTCAAAAAAAAAAATATTGAATAACCTTGGATCTTTTCAAACCAAATTCTTTACTTAAGTATACAACCTGCAAAACATTAAATGATATTTTCATTTTTTAAAAACCGAAAGACACCGAAACCGTAAACATCATCAAGTTTCCAGTCCTTAAGGTTATAAGTCCTTAAGTCTATAGGTACTATTATTATAATGAAATAAGTATTTCATGAATTTGGTTGTTTTTATTTAACTGTATGTATTGTTATTTTTAATATTGTATTATTTATTATTTTATATAAATGCATATCTATAAAATATAAGTCATAGGTAACCATTGCTGAGGGACTCCTAGTTTTTTCATATTTGTCTAGAAAGGTTAGAACAATATGAGTGATGTATAGTTGTGTAGAAGACCACCTACGTAGTTGTATTATTATTAACACGTAGTACTAATCAATACTTTATATTCAATGAACGGATATGAGGGTTATACGAATGATTGTGAAATTGTACAAAACATTGTAGTCATAAGGAAAGTAACACAAGTATGTAATGCGAATATAAACTGTTTAATTATTATATGAATTCGGATATATAAGTACATTGTAAAGGGCAGTAGATCGAACAGTCTTATAACAAGCGTATGACTCGTACCTTATCATTGTCGATATGTGTGTGTTTATTTTAAAAATATACTTAATTAATTAACTAATTGTTATTTATTTTGAGTTACCTTCACTTTCTACAAAAACTCGTTGTAAGCCTACCTGGCTTATAACATAATTGGTGGCAGCGGTGCTCTTCAAACATAATATACTGTATACTATCTGCAGTAGTAATACAATAAGTATAATTGTTGAAGTGGACATTCAAAAGGTGAACAATTTTTTTCATTTACTACACGGACAAGGAGGTTCAGGTCAGGCGTGGCTTGTGTTAAGCTGGTTCAAATCAGGAGTTGGTGGACAAAGGAGTGCAATCATAGGATAAGTCAGCAACAGAAAAGGAACAGTGGATACGGGCAACAGAGGACAACAACGTGACAATATCAAACGCTGAATCAATCAAAGGGGAAGTACAATCAAGGCGTCATGTTGAAGTAAAAAATTTTTTTGTAATTGTTTATGTCTGACGATAGTCAAAGTAGCGATAATAGTAGTATCGAATCTAGCGATAGTAATTATCAAGTAACAGAATTATTTGAAATTGAAATAGTAGAAATGACGATTCCCAAATTAACTTATGAATCAGGGATTAAATTTATACCAAGGTACGGGGGAGAGGAAGGCGAATTAGGAAGTTTTATTAAATCATGTGAATATGTGATAAATAATGTAGTAGATAGTCTTCAACCATTAATTCTAGAAGGGATATTGGCAAAATTATCAGGTAGGGCCGATCAGGTAACTAGGTTTAAATCTATTGGTACATTTGATGAATTAAAAACCATTTTAACGGAGAATTTTGGAATATATCAAACAGTGAGTCAGTTGCAATTAGAATTAGCAGCATGTGTACAAACTAAGAATGAGGGAATAAAAGCATATTATGAAAAGGTCGAAGGTATTTGTTTTAAATTAATAGAGGCAATGGTATTAGAAAATCCAAAAAAAGCGGAAGAGACAGTGATAAACAAAATAGTGAAAAGGCAAGCATTAAATGTATTTGTAGCAGGACTGAGGGAACCGTATAATATATTAGTAAAGGCTCAGAGTAGGGATACACTAAGAGAAGCATATCAGGTAGCATTGGAAGAGGAAAAAGCGTTATTAGCTCAGGAACATAATAGGAAACTTTTTGTGAATAGCGACAAAGGAGTAAAACCAGGTGTTAAGTGTTTTAAGTGTAATAAAATAGGACATAAGAGCTTCCAGTGTTATAGTAAGAGTACAGGGCAAGGAAAAAATCAAAGTTACGAAAAAACGAATAGGGAAAATGATAGAAAGAAGTGGGAAGATCAAGCGAAAATAACGTGTAATTATTGTAAGAAACCAGGACACGTAATGGCAAACTGTTATAAAATAAAAAATAGAAATAGGTACCAAGGTGAAAATAGTAATAACAGTAGTGTAAGTAATGCACCGGTAGCGAACTCGTTAACAGTCAGTGAGTATCAAGCGCGAGTGTTGACTATAATCGAAATGAAAAACGAATGTGTAAAGTGTGATGTACCATTGTTAAAAAATAATGTCGGAGAATTTTTAGTGGATAGTGGTGCTGATTTAAATTTGATTAAATTTTCGAAATTGAAGGGAGAAGTGAGAATGTTCCCAAGTAAGACGGTACAACTAAGAGGTATAAATGCGACACCAGTTTTAACATTAGGTAGAACAACATTAGAGTTAATAGCGGGTGACGTAAAACTATCATCAGAATTCGAAATAGTATTTGATGACTTTCCGATTTGTGTGGACGGTATAATAGGGAAAAAATTATTGAAGGAATATAAAATGTGCATTGACCTAGAGAGGAACGTGTTAGTAGTACCGGACAACAAAATTAATATTCCACCACGCGCGCAAACGATAGTGCCTATACGAGTGAATAAGTTATTACAAAACAAGTGTTTGGTAGTTCAAAGCCAACGCATTAATGAGGACGTGACAATTGGTAGTACAATAGGCAATGTAGAAAAAGAATATATGAAAGGAATAGTGTTGAATAATTCGGACGAGTGGCAGGAAATAAATGAATTAGAATTAGATAAATTGGAGTATTAAGAATATGAGGACTGTGAACAGGTGTTAATATGCAGCAACGAGAAAAATAGGATTGACTTACTATTAGACGCGTTAAGAGTAGATCATTTAAATACAGAAGAAAAAGAAACTATATACGAAGTGTGTTTTAAATACGCGGATTTATTTTTTTTAGAGGGGGATAAGCTATCGACAACAAGATCGATTAAGCATTCAATACCAGTCCCAGACGGAATTACACCGATAAATGTAAAACCATATAGGTTACCCAGAGCACAGCGAGAGGAAATTGATAGACAAATAAGAGAATTGGAAGAGAATAAAATTGTAGTAAAAGCCAATTCGGCTTGGAATGCACCGTTAATAGTTGTTCCAAAAAAAGAGGGACTATCAGGAGAAAAAAAGTATAGAGTATGTGTAGATTTTAGAAAATTAAATGAAGTAACGGTAGGCGATGTATTTCCTTTACCACAGATAACTGAAATTTTGGATGAATTGGGGAAATGTAAGTACTTTACAACCCTTGATTTGGCGGCAGGATATCATCAAATTGAACTTGATGAAAAAGATTCGGACAAAACAGGGTTCTCAACGGGGACAAATCATTACAAATTTTTACGATTACCATTTGGACTAAAAGGAGGACCTAGTACTTTTCAAAGGTTAATGAATAACGTACTGACAGGATTACAAGGGGTAGATGCATACGTTTACCTAGAATCTAGATGATATAATAATATTTGCACCAGATCTAAGGAGTCATAATGAAAAATTAGAAAAAGTGTTAAGTAAATTACGCGAACATAATTTAAGAATACTCAGTCAATATAAAAATGTTGATTTAAATTTAAATTTCAATTAGGTATCGACATTAGTTTTTCTGATTTAAATTTGAAATAATATATTGATGTTATAATTTTATGATTTTTATATTGTTACACAATATCAAATTTAATTATATTTTGATTTTTAATTTAATTTTAACATTATTTATCTTATTTTTGATTTTAAATATCAATTTAAATTTAAATTTTGATTTCGATGTATAGGTATGAGAAACCAGTCGTCGTTTGCGCAGCTGCGTAACACACCAAAGAAAACGCATTATTTGTTTTTTTTTTTTTTTTATTATTATTATTGAGCCAGGCAACTTAGGCTATTAGCTGTTTTGTTTTGTTTGTAAGTTTACTAGGCGGAGGAACGGTTGAAAACACGTTATTTTTATGTGTGGCAAGGATTCGTTATTAAAAAGTATGTGTGTTACCAGTATGCGCGCGGGAAGTTAAAATTCTTTTGAATGGTACACGTGAATGAGTGAAAAAGAAAGAAAAAAATATTAATTAATTTAAAAAATGAGAAGAAGTATCCGGAATTATTTATTATTGATAGTTTTATTATTTTTTTTATATTTTTATTCGACGGATCGATGGATAATTGTTTGTAGTATTATTTTTATCCAGACAATAGATTTGTGAGTGAATAATAATAATAATAATAAAAATAAATAATAATCGATCATTAATTATTCATATTAATTAGTATGGGCCAAGATAGATGAATCTGTTTTTTTATTTTGCAACGTTTATATAATATTAACGACCACCACTTACCTCGCAACGCTTGTTTAATATATAATATGACAACACTACCATGACAATATTTATTTATTTACGGACATGTACGCTTTCGCGTTCGTACGGCCGCCCGTTCGTACGCGCCGCCCGTTCGCTTTTTTTTTCCTCACTACCCTGCGTAAAGAAGTATAACTTCAAAATGTCTTCCATTGCATGCACTCAATGCGTTTCCTCAGTTAAGTGCATGCATTACGCCACACCAAGCCATGAATTATTAGTTATATATTTTTACCTACATATGAACAACATTATAGACTTATCGGATATAATTGTAAAATAATTGAAAACATTTTTTTATTTTAAATTATATATATACAGGGTGTATCTTATGTCATTGCACGCGGGGTTTTTTGACGATTACGGAACGATGATATGGAATTTCGTTAAAACGAAAAAAGACGTGTTTCTTTATTTTTAACAAGCAATTGTTTTATAACAATTTCAAAATTTTTAAACACGCAGGTGTACCAATAGCAAAATCAACTTTTTTTTTCAAATGGTAACCACTATATTTTTTAATGGATTCTGGTAAAGCTTTTTTTCTGAACATTTTGGTAGTCGAATCGTCAATTTTGGTTCGCTAGTTTATTAACTATGGTCCTCCAAAGATTAGTAAAATATGCATTAATACTTTTAATTAAAATAATGGGTATAGGTTTAATTTGGTATAATTAAGCGTTAAACAATTTTTTCTTACAGGAAAAACTCACGCCTTGTAGATTGGTCCGATTTCCGTAATTTTTTTTTTGTTAAATATAGGAAGACGTATTGCAGGGCACATTGGACTTGGATTTTCAAAATTATTTTTCAAAATCTTTCTTACAAGTTTGAATTTAATCCATTTTTACAACTTTTTAGTTTTTGTATTATTATTTATTTTTAGCAACGTAATCAAAAATCAAAGTCCAATGCGCCCTGTAAAAAATATTCTTCTATCTAACAAAAAAAAAAAATTACGGAAATCGGACCAATCTACGAGGTGTGAGAGTTTTTCCTGTAAACTGTGTTTTGACCGATATAATACACCCTATCAACCCCCCCTAAATAGGTATTGGGTAGTAGATTAGTGGAAAAGTCTTATAATTGAGGTGGCAACTAAAATATAAAATTTAATTTTCAAATTTTATAGAATTGTGGAAATTTTGAAAAATCGCGACCAGGCCCCTTAAAACGAAAAAAGACGTGTTTCTTTATTTTTAACAAGCAATTTTTTTATAACAATTTCAAAATTTTTAAACACGCAGGTGTACCAATAGCAAAATCAACTTTTTTGTTCAAATGGTAACCACTATATTTTTTAATAGATTCTGGTAAAGCTTTATTTTCTGAACATTTTGGTAGTCGAATCGTCAATGTTGGTTCGCTAGTTTATTAACTATGGCCTCCAAAGATTAGTAAAATATGCATTAATACTTTTAATTGAAATAATTAAACCTAATTTACAAGCGCTAAACAATTTTTTCTTATAACTACCATTTGATACACTACAATAGTTGAATCGGTAATCTAATGACACCCTCAAGAAAAAAAAAAAAAAAAAAACAAACATAATTGTTTGTAAACATACTTCATTATTTTTATTTTAACATACGATCATATAAAATCAATATTATTATTTTAATATCCAAAACTAAAAAGGATGGAAAGGGATGAATTACTACTCCTAAGTTCATACTTTGGATGCGATACCATTATAGGGAATCTATGGTTAAAATATCAAGTTTATACTTTATACCACTACGAAAAGAGCACCACAAAACATTGCACTTTTTTCGTTGCACATATTAATGTCAACAATCGAATACCATTTACCAATTTACCATTATTACCTTAGCCACCTCCCTAATTAAGAATTCAAATTTATGATATTGTAAGAAAAGTAACTGTGATGAAAAAAATGTAAAGTAATTAATTACGATTATAATAATAATTTAAAATAATAATATTGATTTTTATAATCGTATGGTAAAATTAAAATATAGAAGTATGTTTACAAACAATTATGTTTGTTATTATTTTTTTTTTTTTTTGAGGGTGTCATTAGATTACCGATTCAACTATTGTAGAGTATCAAATGGTATTCATAAGAAAAAATTGTTTAGCGCTTGTAAATTAAACCTATACCCATTATTTTAATTAAAAGTATTAATGCATATTTTACTAATCTTTGGAGGACCATAGTTAATAAACTAGCGAACCAAAATTGACGATTCGACTACCAAAATGTTCAGAAAAAAAAGCTTACCAGAATCCATTAAAAAATATAGTGGTTACCATTTGAAAAAAAAAGTTGATTTTGCTATTGGTACACCTGCGTGTTTAAAAATTTTGAAATTGTTATAAAACAATTGCTTGTTAAAAATAAAGAAACACGTCTTTTTTCGTTTTAACGAAATTCCGTATCATCGTTCCGTAATCGTCAAAAAACCCCGCGTACAATGACATAAGATACACCCTGTATATATATTTGATTCTGAGCGAAGCGATGAATGTATTGATTTTACAATGATGTGTGTTTTTTATTTTTAACTTAACCTTTTAGAACAGTAAAACAGTATCTTTTCTGAAAGGAAAGTTAATCTAGTTGGTACTTTGAGGGGTCAAAAGTAAAAATTTCCCAGTAGTTTTCAAAAGCGCTGTGAAAAACAAAAAACAAATTAAGGAAAAACGGTTGGTTTTTGGTGCAACTCTTAAACAAATGACAGTAGGTACATGAACTTTTGACTGAATGTTTATAATAGCATATACTATACACACATTTTAAATGTTGGTTAAAAATATGGAAAATTTAATAGAAGGGTCTTAGTATATTATTGTTACAAAGGCACATGGAAAAGAATAAAAACTGATAGTCAGTTTTTTTTTATAATCATTTAAAGTTAAAATATTGACAAAATACGTAAAATAACGAAAATTTACAAATTATTTTGAGTTAGAAATTCATAAAAATTTTCTTTTTAAATCTAAGATTTTAAAATGTAATACAAGATTCCTCATAAGTTTGTCTAAATTTATTGAAATAGTATATTGTGTGGCAAGGGCGGGAAATGGCCTTCCCGCGCGAGCCACACATACTATTTGTTGTCACGCCCCTGCGTTCATGGAAAAGGTTATGCAGGGATCTATGCGTCATGCAAGGAGGTTATATTATACATTTAAGATGTAACCAAAAGTTTATGTTTTGTAAGAACCGTGGTAGGTATACATTTTAGTTTCTGGTTGTGCAGGGGATACGCGCCCGGCGGCCGGCACTTTTGGGAATTTTTTCTTTTCCGCCCGGAACTTTTGGGGATTTCCTCTTTTCCGCCCGGCACTTTGGGGATTTCCACTTTACCGCCCGCTGGACGGAAAAAGGACGCTTTCGAACGCTTCAACCGTGGTCGAAAA